CCCCCCCCCCCCTTATGGGGCTTCCCCCTAGACTTGTCTTGTCTGAGGCATCCTAATAGGCGTTCCCCCCCCCTTTCGGGGCTTATGCCTCGCCCTCTCTGGGGCTTCCTCAGTCAACTCACCCTTCTCTGGGGCCTGTCCCAATATGCGCTTCTTGCGCTGCGCCCTCTCTGGGGCCTGTTCCAATATGTGCTTTTCGTGCTCGGGGCTCAGGTGGCCCATAGCTGTGCCTGGCCCCTTGATCCTTCTCAGGGTCCTTCGCCCTAATGGGCCGAATGCCACCCTCACAGGCTGGGGTCTCAACCCCCACACACTGCGCCCCACCGGCACCAAAGAGCTGTGCCTCCCAGGCACAGCTCTGTGCCCAAACAGGGCACTCAGGAACCCCCTGACTACTGGGGAGCTCCCGTGAGGATACCGCGTCCCGCCGGCGCCAACCAGCTGTGCCGCCCCGGCACTGCTCGGTGCCCGAACAGGGCACCCAGGAAACCCCCCCAGACTACTGGGGATCTCCTGTGAGGCCTCCTCGCACCCCTACAGCCTCACCCGGTCCTCCGGTGTAACATCAAACCCAATGAAAACTTAAAGCCCTGAGCCCACCGGCTGCAACACAACAATAAGCCTACCAGCTATAACATGAAGTCCAGGCCCCACCTGGCCTTCCAGTAAGACCTCCTAGTCAGGGTTCTCCCCCCCCCTTGCCCTGATGCAGCTACTAGCTCTATCAGTCTGCCCAACTCAGCTCGGCTCCGCTGCAGAGCTCTTACTCCTCCAGCAGCCTGAAGGTAACTACTAGCCAGGCTTTGGCCTGGCTGTTTATATAAGGCCAGGCCCTGCCCCTGGCGGTCAGCTGACCCACTCAGCTGCCATGGCAACCCTCACCTGGGCAGCCCTGCAGCTTGGCAGCTAAGCCCACATTACTACTGCCAGTAGCAGGCACCCTAGTGCCCTGCTGCAACTAGCTTTCATTTTCCAAGCCCCGCAGAAGTGCTGTAACTGAGAATGTTTTGCATGAAGCGCTTTGAGTTGCAATGATCCCCCAGACAAAACAGAAGTTCACTGTTGGTTCTATGGGGCAGGGGAATCTAGCTGCTGACTGCCAGCCTGCAGCTGGTTTTCCCTAGCAACTGCCTCTCCTCCCTCCTAGCCTGTCCCTGTTTTCAGAATGGGAGAGGGGGAAGGGAGCTGAGAGAGCTCGTTCTAGGGGTTCCCTGGCTGGCCCAAGGGGGCACTCAGATACACCCGCATCCATCAAGCAAGACCTACCTGCAACAAACCCGTGCCGGCTATCCCTCAGGATGTTGACATCGGCCAGTCCATTAAGGATGGCCTCTTTAATAAACTTTTCTAAGATCTTCCCTGGGATAGAAGTCAGGCTGATGGGCCTATAGTTAGCCGGATCCATTTTCCTCCCTTTCTTGAAGATAGGCACCACATTGGCCTTCTTCCAATCTTCGGGCAGTACACCAGAGTTCCAGGAGTTCTCAAAGATCTGTGCCAGGGGCTGGGCTATGATGCTTACCAGGTCCTTGAGTACCCTGGGGTGTAGATTGTCAGGGCTGTCTGACTTGAAGGTATCCAGCCTCTCAAGGTGTTCCTTCACGAGGTCAGCATTAATGGAGGGCAGGGAATTGCCCTCACCCAGACCTCCCTGTCCCATAGTAGGCATGGGCGTCCTGTGGTACTGACAAAAGACTGATGCAAATTACCCATTTAATAGGTTGGCTTTTTCCTGGGCGTCAGTTGTCAGTTGCCCCAACTGGTTCAGCAGGGGTCCAATGTCGCCCTTGCTTTTCCTCTGGCTCCCCACATATCTGAAAAAGGACTTTTTATTGTCCTTGATGCTCAAAGCTAGTTGGAGTTCAGTTGCAGCCTTGGCTTTCCTGGTTTGCTCCCTGCAGGACCAGACCAGTGCAGAATATTCCTCCTTGGAGGTGAATCCCATCCTCCATCCTTTGTAGGCCTTTCTTTTTAGTCTCAGGAGCTGCTAGATCCCTGTAGAGCCAGCGGGGCTGCTGTGCCCTCTTGCTGCCTTTCCTCCGAGATGGAATAGAATTAGCTCGTGCATTAAGGATCACTCCCTTGAGGAGCAACCGCTCTTCCTGAACTCCCGGGGCTTCACTCCTGCAGTTCCGCCATCCCCTGTCTCACATGTTGGCTGGCCCCCAGCCGCGTCTGCCCGAGTGGGGTGAGCTGGGGACAGCGCCTGCTTTTACTTGTCTCCAGCTCAGCCCCTTGCCCCCCGGTGTCCTGCCCGCCTCCTGGGACCCGCCGGGCTTGGTGGCCGTGGGGCAGGGTGGGAACAGGGCACGACTTGACCAGTCTCATTTCTTTCTATAACCAGGTGACCTATCACCTTCAGAAGGGAGAAGAAATTGATGTCATATATCTTGACTTCAAAAAAGCCTTCGATCTGGTATCCCATGATCACCTCTTGGCGAAACTGGCCAATTGTGGCCTTGGGTCCACCA